AAACCCAATCCGATATGCTTTAGAATAAACTGTAAATACATTGGAATGTAAAATTTTATCCTTAAGTGTGGACGCCTTAGTAAACGTATCCGCAATATTTTCGCACCGAACTAGCTCGTGGTTCTGGCCAACATTTGAGTAGCATTTTTTCAAGACATCGAACTTCGCCGAGGTAGGTATAGCAAAGGTGGGCGTGTCTCAGAAAAAAAGACTAGATATATTTGCTGCATTATGTTGAATTTTTGACATCAAAAACCTGTCAAATTGACGGATACTCTAGATCTAGTGATGATAAGCAATCGTGGGCTTAAATCGCTGAAAGAGTGCTTTAATTAATTACTTAAATAAATTTCTTAATTAATATACTCGTGTACAGAGCGACTTGTTTGATATATGAAATTGAATATGGAGCCGCCATCGTTTTCCGATCAACGGCAATTGCAAAAACGGTTAACATAAAATAAGAAAAGTTGAAAGTTTAATAAATGAAATTGTATAATTACTCGAATAAAAACGCAATAGATTATAAAATTATTAAAATTTTTATTTTTTGCGATATTAGTATAAATTAACTCTAAGGTAAGGTAATAACATCTGCATTTATAGCATTTTAGTTACAAAAGTCTAAGAAATTAAAAAAAGAAAAAAAAAAAGAAAAAATTGAATATATTAATGCAATATTCATAAATAAAAATGAAATTTGAAAATAATACAATAATTCAAATGACAAAATACACACACACACACACATGTATATACGCACATACGCACACACCTACAAAGGGTAGCTGTATGTAAGGGTTCCCATCAATTAACATAAACCTCATTAAAACGCATTTTATTATTATTGCTATTATGTGTACATATATACTCGCAAAGAAGACAAAAATATGTCATCGTGACATTTAGAATTGATGCTCGTTTAAACTTAAAATTTGTTGCGTACATCGTATTTAATTAAAGAAGAGCATCAAAATTATATCTCGAATTCATAATAGCCGTAGTCTTCTCTACTCTTCTATTGCGGCCCTAACAATACGAGTTTTCTCTGCCATATCTATTAATTTGAAATGATTGTAAATACATGAGGAAACCGCAGAGATATATACAAAAAAAAAAAAAAATAATAATAATAATAATAATAAAAAAATAAAAAAATATAAAAAATAAATAAATAAAAAATTAAACTATAAAAACGAATAAAAATGAAATTAAATTTGAATACAATTTTATGATAAACTTAGAATCTTAAACCAGTATCACATTATTTCAAGAGTTTCTCCTTGTAACTTATCGAAAGGATTTTAAGCAATTATATTAAAAAATAAATTCATGAAATGTATTTGGAAAGGCCAAAGAATTTTTTCACCATTTCTCTCTTTCCCCAATTTTAATTATACAATAACAAAATAAAATACTTAAGCGATACGTGTCGATATCGATTTCGAAGCGTTATAACTATAATTATTGTTTCCTAACGGGGAATAAAGCTTATTTTTGGTCACAGTAAATTCAGGGCTTATTGTTATGGTACGCGAAAGACTTTTCATAAAATGCGGTAATAGTGCAGCCCAGCCACGATGATCCTGACGCAACGTTAAATATAATTCAAATGTTGAAACTGTCTCCATGTCCAATTTAAGCGAAGCTATGCGTCGCGAATTATTCGGTTCATCTTCAAATTCAATATAAATCGTGCATCCCCTTAAACCGCAAGGCTCACGTTCGGAAAGACATAATATTTCAGCCGCTATACGAGTTGTCAAATCACAAGGTAGCGAAACTTCCGTACAGGAAAGATGACGAGATTTCGCCGATTTCAATTCACTTAGCAACCGCAATGACAATTCGTTAACGGCCGCCGCATCTGAATCGTTACCGTTATAGAATGTTATGGCCTTCTTCCTCGTAGCATTCGCAGCATTCATCGTAGTTGTGGCCCGTATGCGAGACGTGTGTTTACTGAGAACTTCCGCCGTACGATTCATTTTATGATTGATGTTAATACTAGTTTTCATACTATTAGTTATATTACTGTGTGTATAGGGTATATTTGTAGCAGCTTTGGTTGCTGCCGTCAGCGGTGGTGTCAATGTTGTTGTGGACCAATCTGAAAGAAATCAAAAAACCAAATAACCAAAGTTTAAAATTTGCATTCGATTTGTTTTAGAAACAATTTTTGCAATAATTGGAATTATCAAGAACAAATTTCGACTTTCCGCCTCACATGTGTTTTAGTCGACTAGATATAATGCATCGATTCGATTAGTTTCCCTTCCATAGAGTCATTAAAAAAATCGCTTTTAGGCGCGTGACCTAACTAAATATGGATTTTATTAAAGTGTTCTATCGATTATGACCTTTAGAAAACCGGGGATCTATATAAAACTGACTGATGACACCATAGCTTTGCCAAGGGAATTAGAAGAAAATATTTTGTTTATGAGATCATTATTCTAAAATAAATCCATTTCGCAATGTTACATACGGGATAACAAAGTTGACATACTCTTAGCTAATGACTATAATAACAGCTGAACAGAATGCACGCTTGCTCTGTGGGAAAACGCACGTATCACAATTGCTTTACTTATAAATGCACATAAATATAAATACACATGCATATAAAAAAAAGATATATTTGCGTGTGTGTTTGTACGTACGTATATATGGATATATATGTACAATTTTTTTTTTTTTTTTTTTTTTTAAGTAGCGCATATGTTCAGCTGGCTGCGTTTATTATTTGCTTAGTTGTTAGAGGTCATTAAAACACTCATCATTAACTTGAACAAATATATTTTCGTATATATGATAGAGTATGAACGCTTGACAACAACCAAACATTTTTCTTCTTTTTTTTTTTTGTTTCTTTTGACAAACCCATGCTAAGCTTTAACATAACGTTTTCTTCTTTCTTATGACGGAAGAGAGAGAAAAATCGCACAATCATTTCTATTTCATTAATTGATTTTTAATACTTTTATGTAAGACTAATAAATATTAACTATTTTGAATACTTTTCTTTTGTTCGATTTGGAAACGATCATGTCATATAATTTCACAACACGGTCGCACAATTTCACAATTACTCTTATATCTCGATTTATTGCAAATGACCTGAACCGGTATTTGTCCATCAGCACTTTCAGTTGAAGTCAAAGGCAATATTTAATTAAACAAGAGGAGACTTTTTAAAATCGGCCGGTGAAAAATAGAGCAACTGCTGTCGAAAGAAATCCACTAAGCCACTTACCTTTTACTTTATTTGAACCTAAACTGGTAAAATCAGATGGACGATATAATTGTTGTACCGCTAAAATTTCCATTTTCATATTTTAAAAATTTTTTCTTCGAGTTCGAGAAATTTGCCGGTGATAACTACAATATCATTTATGCAAGTATCACAAATTTATTCTTAAAAAATATCACTTCGAAATTAAATTTTTCGGCACAGAAAACTTTGTCTTTTAATTTCAGTTCTTTAAAAAAATTAAGAAAAAAAAAAAATGAAAAAACACGTTAATAACGTTAAAAACTACTATCGCAATTGTTTATATGGAGGTCTTTTTTGAGAAAAAAAACATCCAAAATTTCTGACTTGTCAGTTGCAAGAAATCAGAGTAAATATATTTCAAATATATTTCATTATTTTCAATAGAGAATGTTTTCTCTCAGAGTAAAAGAGCAAACAAAATTTTACAATACAATGTCAGCTATACCTGAGTAAATCTCCTCTCAATCATTTTTTTTTTTTTTTTTTGTATAAATTGTTTTCATTTGCATCTCATTTAGTAAGAGTATTCAATAAAAAAGAAAATGGAAAAACCACTCAGTGACTTTTCAGAGTGTGAGCGAGAAATTTTGAACTGATATAAAGAGAAGCAAAAGCACAAATTTTTTTCGATAGCTTAATGAGAAAATCATACTGATAAGCCATAGAAGAGAGCGTGCTCCAAGTGTTTCAAAGCTACCATGAGTATTTAAGGTGTTTTTTTTTTCTGTACGGCAAATAAAGGTATACAATCTCTCTCCAACCAGATAAAAATTTCTTTCGTACTTGATCTCTTTTTTATAACCACTCTCTCTTTATTTATTACTTTAACTTTTCCCTTCTTTCGATACAACGAATTAATATATAAAACGAATGCATCCCATATATCCCAGTCAACCACAGCAATCGTTTTGCATTATTATTTGTACTATTTGTAGTATCATATTATAATAGTATTGATTTTCAGGAAAATAGTTTTTTTGAAAACAAAGAGAAAATAAGCACAAATTTTTAATGTCGATTACTTAGGGATTAAATTTACATTTTAAGCAGATAACAAGCGACGCAAAATTACCTTCACATTGAAACTCAATTTTTTAACATATTTGAAGTTTGTAGACAAATCGCAAATTTTTGAAAAATGCGGTCTTTAGCGTTATTCTCAAAGATGATTCTTTTTAAAACAAACTGCACAATCCTTTCACACATAATCCTTCCAATTAGTCAACGTCCTGCTTGCTTTTGCTTGCAAATCGAAGTCTGTCAATTTGTAGGGTTTTCAAACACGAACGACTCATACCCCACAATGATCGAAAAAGCAAAGCAGCAGAATTTAGATGGACATTTCCTTATTTCAAGAATACGCAATTCATTTCCTTTGATAAAGTAGCTAGTGTGGTAGCGCCACTTCTGAAAGTTAACAGAAAAATCAAAAGCTCTTGGGAACTCATACTATTTAATTCGCTCTCGTACTATTCGTAAGCAATAAGCACTTCTGTTTAACCCATTATATTTACAATTTTCGTGTATATTCCAATAATAGGCAAATGTACGACAAATCCAAAAGTACATATATAATTTCATACTATTCTCTCATTTATCAGCTGACTTCTCCACTCGCTTTCGTTTCGTTTGTTTTAAGCTGTTTTTTCTTATTTGCAAATTTGTTTTTCTTTTCTCTTGTGTAAATACGCAACCACTTAGTATTATAGTGGTATAGAGTAACATATATTAGTCACCCAGTTTGTAGAAGAAAAATGAAATTTATGAAATTTACATTTTCATGCATTGTCTTTTACAATAGTTCGGCCACCTCTGCTCGCTCTCTACGGAATCTAAACTTTTAATTAATGCCTTTGGCTATTTAACTTACTTATCTTATTATGAGAGAGCTAACTATAAAAGTTGGAAATGTTAATTGATCTCATTCCGTGGTTTCACGGTCAGCAATATAGGCGAAAATTTATTTCCCAAATAGTAGAGAGTTAACAGCAGAAGACAATACTGACTTATTCTGAACAACAATCAATCCACAATCCCAATCAGATGTTGAGCTAAATCTTTTCAACTTATGCCATGCTAATCTGTTTAGAATCATTCCCATAGCCAATTCAAATATATCCCGAGAAATTGCCTTCAAGGTCAAAGCACCGTTTCTATGCATTTCTATAAGGTGCTTTGAAGACATTTTTTCAAACAAAAAATCTTAAAATTATTGCCGAAAATTAAAAGAAGCGTAGACAGCGGTTCATCGTCAAGCTTTTGGGGGATCTTGATAACTAGAGTTTACCCAAGTGTTCAATAGCTCTTTGTCTACCGCTCTTGAACTGCCGGCAAATATATTACGAAAAATTCCTTCTTCCCAAATGCGTTTGTGAGCCGGTCAATTGGCCCTTACTGGCATTTGGGCCAAAGCTAAGAATAGATCACAGCAGGACTTTGGGCTTTGCTCAATGCTCAAAAACGAATGCTTGAGGAGATGTACACAATTAATTCGACTTGGGATCTATGTCAATTTATAATATGGGACTTATAAGAATCGTTAGCGTATTTCTGGTTGTCTGAAATTAAGCGGCTAACTTGGTATATATCAAAATTTTGGGGAAGTCTAGTACATAAGCGAACAATTTATATTCGGCTATGGCATCAAATCTTCTACTGCCTTGCACTGCCTTTATCAGAAAAAAAAGGAAAGAAAGCCAAAAAGAGAACAAAATCGGAACTGCGATACTCTTTGTAATATTGACTGAGACGACCATATTTTCTTCAATTTTTCTGTAGGTGCTGCAGGGTTACGTATAGAATACGCTGCGAAATTCTTATCGTTGTGTGTGGTAGTAGCTGATGAGTAATAAACAAATAATCGATTTTTTGTTCCTTTTAAAAGTAGAGGCATACTTTGGTTTATCTTATATTATAGGCGTGTCCCCTTTGCGAGTATAAATGTTTTTATACAAATACACGATATGGGGGAAAGAGACTTACCCATATTCGTCCTTCCGTAAGTCGCGTACACTAACAACTAATTCCTAATTGTTTCGATTGTCGTTAAGAAAAATTCAAAAAAGTTGTTTCTCTCGGCCCATTAGCCAAACAATTATGTGCAATAATGTTCCGCTTACTTTTACTTTTAAGTGCTTATCATATAAAAAAAAGGATGGGGAGTGAAACATTAATTAATTTATCAAAAATATATATACAATGTTTGGAATCATAATCACAGTAAAATTCAAATAAATTTTATTCAAAACTTTTACAGCAGATGTTGCTCTACATATTGCAAAATATAAAAGTCCATCTTCGTTTAGTTAAGAGGCTGACCAGATAATCGAATTCAACGTGTACATATGCACGCACTTATACTATACTTTAGATATTAAAGAATGACCGTTACGTACCAGACATCGTATATAGTATAACAGAAACGATGAGGTAGGGGACGTTTTCAAAAAAAATTAAACTTCGAATTAGATAAGTTTATGTCCTTTAGTCAAGACAACATCCAACTTTCATAAGTTCCAATTACATTCTAATTGAAACGTAAATTTAATTGGAAGATTTCTTCCAATTGAAAAAACGAAACAAGAAGAATTTGGAATTTGAATTTATGTGTGCACACAAGTGTTTATTATAATGCGAATTTTTCTGCATGTGTTTGACGAAATAAATTTTATGCGCCATTCATAAGTCGGCAGAAAAATCTATTTGTATTTACATTGACCCAGTTTCTCGTATAGGGTCCTAATAAATGAATATAATCGATTTTATTTTTTTTGGTAAACGGGCCTAAGTGTTAGATGAATGTAAACCTCATTCAGGTTTCAGATGAATATTCATTCTTTGAAAACTAAATATATTCGTTTAGATATGAACAAATTTCGATTTTAACTGAAGATTTTTTGAAAAACACAAATCCCGCCCCATATTAAGCAAAAGACAACAAGATATTTGTTTTTTATCACTTCTGTCTGTTTGTCTTTAACGCTTTTCAAGCGAAAGCGGTTTTTAGTCTTTCTTTATGTAATCCGCCTATGGTGATCAACCTATATAAGGGAATAAAAAATATCTTATCCTATTTTTTATTAAAGAAGAAATTGGGGATAATCAGGTCGCTGAAAGCTAGCCTCCAAAAGTTAACGGAAAACGAATACGAAAGTAAAATTTTTCTTGCCTAATTACCTCCATGGATTTACTTTCGATTGCTTTTAACAAAGTGTATACGATGTGAAGCCTTGAGGTATGGTAAACCTAGCGAACGAAAAAACTTTTATATATCTATTATCCAAACAAATTACCGAAATTTAGATAGCCCGTCAAGGTAACCCATATTTTTCTCAAGGGTCGTATCTTTGCTAAAAATGTATTTGCTAAGTTACGGTTTGTTGCGAAGTAAAAAAAAGGTGCAATACGTGCAAAGTGAGAGCACTTAAATTGAGACCATTCCAATGAATACTCTTTAAAGCGATTACATTTAATCGAATCGTATTGTCGGTTGTTTTGTTTCTTTTATTTATTTGATTTTGAAACTAGTAAAGATATCAAAAATTTATGATGACACACATGTAAAAGGGACAAAAATGGATGTGATGAAATCGACAAAGTGCTGTATTAAAGAACTCTCGTATTTTTAAGTCATTTTTTCAATAAGAATTTTAAATTTTGTTATATGTTTACATTCTCAAAGAAAACTCTGCTTGATTTTATTGCCGCATGCGATTTTGCATACAAATCAACAGGAACTTTAGCCAAAAACCAAATAGAAACGGAATAATGGAATGGAACAACAATATATACACCGGCAAGAAATAGTAACAGAAGCAATAAAAGTAACAAAAGGGTAATGTCTAAGCTGTTAGTCGTTTCTAATGCTTTAGCTTTTCCTAAACAAATTGAACTTTTCTTCAAAAGTTGACTAAAGCGTTGCCAGTTTTCAATGAAAGAATTTTTCTTATCGGATTCCGCTCACAATTGCGACTTTCCTTTTGGACTTGAGCTTTAGCTGAAAAGTGTTTAGTGTTTACCGTAGGCAAGAACCACAAGCATAAACATTTTGTGTTTGAGCGCCATCTACCGACCATAATGCACATATATTTTTTTCCTTGTCAAAGGCTGAGCAAATCATTTGATAGTTGTATGCGTTTTAAGGCATATCAAAAATTAGGTTTTTATCTTGGATGGTTTAAGCTCACAAAATAATTTTTATAATGGCAATGTACTGGCTATAACTAAGGTTGGAGAAAGAGAGATCATATCTATAAAAAGACAGTGCCAGTACAACAGAAATGAAAA